TCTCCTCCAGCCGCCGGTGAGCTGATTTACCATCCTCCCCTGCAAGTACACGCCGCGGTCAGTGAACTGAAATGCAGCAGCTCTGTCCCCTGCCCATCCCCAGCCGCCTTCCCGGGCAAACGTGGCTAGGGCAGAGCGCAGCCAGCCAGAGTGGAGACGGCTACTGTCCTCCTTAGCACACCCTTGGGCAGGTCCCAGACAGGATCTGGCTCAAAAAGCCCCCAGAGCTCCTGATTCAGAGGTTGCAAATCCTGTTCTTCAGCTGCCTGCCGTACCGTGCCCACGCGGGGCAGGGATCACCCACGTTCGGGCCACAGGAGCACTGGCTTGTGGAGAGCCCAGCTTGGGGCAAAGGGGCCAGGGCACGGGGCTGTGCCAGCTCCAGCATCTCAAACAGCTGTTCACATCTGCATGCACTGGCACAGCCATCCCAAGGGCTTCCCTTGGACCCCCTAGGCACACACAGGGATGCACACATCCGTGCAACAAGCCGGGTCTGAGATCTTTTCCTGGCACCCCCGCACGCAAATCTGCCCGCGACAGCCATCCCCAGCAAGAGGTGGTGACATGGACAATCTGGTGGGACACGGGACACAAGGCATCTACATGTGCCGGGGTGCCACAGGGACAGGCTCTATGAACAACCAAGACACACAGACTCCAAAACGTGACATGGCTGACAGGCTCTAAGACGGAGACATTCGTGAGCAAAGCGGCAGGAGCGGGGACAGGGGGGACGAGGATGGCTCACGTGTCCCAACCTGCACAGCAGCTGCCGCGATCTGGAGGCCTAGAAACCCTCTCAGATGGTTCTCTCAGGGCCGTCTAGCAAATAATAAATAACAACCGGGCTCAGTGCTCTGTGTCCACGGGACGCCTGGCCCTCACTGCCTGCTTGCTCATGCCCGGCAGAGCTTGGGGCACAATGAGCCGGGGTAGGCAGGGACCAGCCCCGGATCCCCTTCTCCCGCAGGCACTGTTGGCACCAGGAGATGCCACTCAGGATACCATGAGTGGGGAGGGAGCAGAGAGGAGCAGCAGGACACTCACCACACAGCATCAGGCTCTGCTTGGCTGCCTCCCGCACAGGCTCCTTGTCAGTTTGGCACAGGTAAACCAGCTGCTCGATGCTCTCCTTGGCCTGCAAGGGAAGGGACGAGGGGCTGAGTGTGGCTGGCAGCAGGGACATAACCCAGAGAGGAAGGCAGCACAGGCCACTGCAGCACCATGGTGCAGGGAATTCCCTTGTCTTGTCCCTTCCCTCCCCATCTCTCTTCCTGCCCTGCTTCTCTGGCACATTTGGGGCTCCCCAGGGAGCAGGAGGCTGTGCCAGTGTGTCCGGAGCTGCCGGCCACATGCCATCCCTCTTCCTCCAGAAGATCTCTCACCTTCAGGCAGCCCAGCGCCGCACACCCGGCCACGCGCGTCTGCACCTCCTCGTCCTCCAGCTGCTCCAGGTAGCACACGAGGGCCTGGGGGAGATGGAGGGGGGGTCAGCGCCACCACCTGCTGGGGGCAGCACACCAAGGGGCTGTGCCACCAGCCCACCTCGTCCCTGGCTTGCCCAGCACATACCCGTTGGCGGAAGCGGGGGTTCTCTGCCAGGCTACGGAGCTGGGCCGACACGGCGCTCACCACCTTGCTGTTGCCCTCCACGAGGAGCAGACTGAGCGCCTTCAGACCCTCCTTCTTCAGACGGCCCTCGGGCACGCGCTTCAGGGCACGCAGCACCACGTCCTGGTCGTCCGAGTTGAGGTTCTGCGCCAGCAGCGCTGCGGGAAACCGTCGGTTGAGGCAAGGCATGGGGAGACGGGTGGCACTGCCCACACGTCCCTGCCACCATCCCCAGGGCACCCGCGGTAGGCAGAGGTGGCCCCACGCAGGGTGACATGGCATGGAGCTGCTGGGGCATCCCAGCCAAGATGCTCAGATCTACAGCAAGGAGCCAGGGTGCTCAGGAAGGCAGCGTGGGAGTGGGCTGTGCACCGGATCGGACCTACGCACCCCCCCCAGGTATGGCTGAGCCTCTGGGTGATGCGCCGGGGTGATGACCTGTGGTGATGTTCCAGCACCCCATGCCAGGGTCCAGGGAGGGTGAGAGAGTACCCACCTTCCTCTGCCAGCTCCATCATGTAGGTGTCGAGTGCCAGGGCACCAAGCGACTCGAAGTGGCTCCAGTACTGGAAGATGGTGACCTGCTCGGCCTGAGCGCTGCCGGGCCGCCGAGGCAGGCGCCGATTCAGCACATCCTCCACCAGCTTCACACACACTGCGGGAAAGGGCCAGGATCAGGGTGTGCAGCAGCCATGGCCACCCCTCTGTGGGGCTCCTGGCACCCTCAGATCCCCACTCACGGTCACTGAGTGGGCTGGCAACCTGTCCCTGAACACCCCACTCACCAACATCAGCCAGGCCGGGGTGCCGCTCGCTGATGGGTGCTGCGTACTGGGTGCTAAGTGCCTGCAGGAACCGCTCCACGGGGCAGGTGTAGACGTTGGGCACTTCCACACAGTGATCCCAAAGGGGCAGCACGCCCTCCTTCCGTGTCGAGAACTGCACCACTGTGGGGACAGGCGCTGTCAAACCTCCCCAGGCCACAGCAGTGGGCACAGCCGTGCCGGTGAGGGGAAACCGGACCCCACAGAGCCCCCAGGGCAGCACGGATGGTCCCCTCGGCCACATGTCTCTACCTTCGGCAGCAGAGCCAGCTGCTCCCGCTCGCTCCTCCATCAGCTGGCACACGATCTCCAGCACCTGTGCCTCCCGCAGCAGCCTGTCCAGGGCATACATCTCCTGGCACCGCAGGGGACCGAAGGTGCCCAGCTTCTGCAAGGCACCGCCAAACCAGAGACCTCAGCGCTTGCACCGCAGCCTCCATGCTGCAGCAAGACACCCCTCAAGACCCCCCTCCCCAGGGAGCCCCTGCCATTGCGCCCTGTCCCCTCTCCTCACCAGCAGCAAGCGGTTGCAGTTGTTGAGGTGAAGCACCAGGGCCTTATCCAGGAACTCGTTCCCAGTGCTCATGGGGTCAGTGCTGGCCTCAGAGCCGCTGCACATGCCGGTGTCGTCTGCTCCCGTCTCACTGGCGCTGGGGGCCCTGCTGCTGCGCCGGGGCCTGCCAGCCCTCCTGCAAGCCAGCGAGAGACCAAGGCAAGCGGGTCAGCACGGGAAATCTGGATCTCACCCTTCCCCACCCAATGCTGGGCAGACTTTCTGTAGGACCTACAGTACCACAGCACTGGGGCTGGGCAAAGGGGCAGGTGCCAGGGGCACAGGGGCTCCTGTCCAGCCCCCACAGAGAGATGCGAGTGGCATTGTGCCAGCAGAAAGGTCAGGTCCTGCTGCTTCTCCACCTGGACCTGCCCTGAGTTGTGACGGGTTGGTCTAAATGTGCTTGAGCACCCTGGCAAAGCTGGGCATCCCCTTTCCCAACTGCCCCACATCCTGCCCCACGCCCCATCCCATGAGCCCCACTGTGCACCTCTCATCTTGGAGAGGGTCCTCCTCGGAGCCCTCCGAGTCTTCCATGTCGGAGGTGTTGAGGAAGCTGAAGCTCTCCAGTGCATGCTCCACAGTCAGGCTGATGCTGGAGGCCCGGCTGAGGAAGATGCCCTGCTTCTGCTGCAGAGGAAGGCACGGTGGAGTCAGATCCTGGCTCGCCAGCCAAGACCCACCACCCACATCCCTGGGCACTGCCATCAGGGATTGTCCTGTTCTCATTGTCCCTGGGCACTGCAAGCCAGGACAGCCCTGTTCCCATTGTCCCTGGGCATTGCCATCAGGGATAGCCCCATCCCCATTATCTCTGAGAACTGCCAGCTGGGATTGTCCTGTCCCCATAATCCCTGGGCACTGCCATCAGGGATGTCCCCGTCCCCATTTTCCCTGGGCACAGTCAGCCAGGACAGCCCTATGCCCATTATCCCTGGGCACTGCCAGCTGCACTTGCCCCATCCCTGTCATCCCCAGGATGCATCATCTCACCAGCAGTATCTCCTCCAGGTGTTTGAGCTCCCGTTCGAGGGGCTGCAGCTCTGGGAACTGCCCCCGATAGTCATCCAGGGCCGAGCCCAGGAGGCTGATGGCCTCCTCCAGACCTGAATCCACCACCTTCCCCCGCGGCACCTCGGGGACACCAGCAGGCAGCGTCGGGGCCGGGACAGGCCTCTCCTCCCTGGGAACTTGTGCCAGTGCCATGGGGACCCCAGTGTCGCAGCCATCCTGTGCCAGCACCTGGCTCCGCACCGCCTCG